TATACTAAAGCAGAAGGATCTTCTGATCTTCAAAACACTAAAAGGAAGCAGTAAAAACATAACTTTAAAATAATACAGTAAGAAAGCCTTATTCTCATCAAAGGGATGACTGGCACTGAAAAATTGCCAGTTCACCTGTCAGGGGTTCTTTAAAAAAATTCTTATCAAATTTAACAGAAATGTTCCAATTGTTTATATTAAAAGGAGCTAAGGTTATTTAAAAAAAAAATATATATATATAAAACAAAATGAATCCAGAACAGGATAAGAAGATAAAAGTCTATATAGCCCTTTGTTAACATTTAAACTCAAAGAAATACAACAGTAAAGAAATAAAAACTATTAATACTAAAGCACAAAATTACATAAAATTGTAACAATCATCTTAAGAATAGAAAAAGTGAGAAAAAAGTGAGTTCTGTTCATGGCAATTACTAAGAGTACATCTTCATTTAAGAAAAAATTAAGTGGGGAAATAGAGGGCACATTGCACGCAATTAAAAAATTCTTTCCTACCTTCCCTCTGTTTCCTCCTACAAGCAATCTGCCCTTTGCAACGTCAGACACTGCTGTCTGCACCTCTCACCCTCCTCTGTTTCCTGGAGGTATCTGGGCCAGCCCCTCCTCCGTGCCTTTTCAGCCTGAAGCGGGTGATGCCCTCCGCCCCGTGCCTTTTCAGCCTGAAGCGGGTGATGCACCACACAGCGAATTTCAGGTGATGATGCTAATTGGGCTCTCTCTCCAGCAGATGTATTTTACCTGCTAAATCCAGTACCGCCTTCTTCACATCTGCAACAGATTAGCAAACCACAGTTGACTAATATAGACAGTCCCTTCTCTATTCTTCCCAACTGACTAACAGCCTGCTGAGAATTCCTGATTTTAAGTCCCAAAGTGAATAGCCTGGCATGGTTTTCACGCGCTTGTGACAAATTCTTACTTGTGAGATGACAATCTGACCTAGAGCTCTCTAGGAACCAGATCTAGTGAGATGATCATTCACTGTTCTTTAATAAGCTTTGGGCAGACTATCTAAGAACACCCCAGTCCTGCACCTCTCCTGCTGTCATGCTGCTGCTGTTGCTTTTGTGCACTGGAAACTCTAGGACAAATGCCCTTAAGGGATGGGAAAAACCACTGGGCTTCCAAAACCAGCCTTCATTTTTTGCATCCGTTCACACAGCTAGTATGAAACAAATCCAGTCTGGTGGCATTTGACACAGGTTTTTTCAGATGTCAAAAAAAAGAGGCAAAAAATAATGGCATGGGAGAGTCTGGTTAATGAGGTGTCACGGCTATGGTTGATTTGTTCACCACTTCTTTCATTTTATTACATGTATCAGAGTGATAAGGTGAAAAATTTCTCACGTTTTGTTTATGCACTATATGGTTTAAGGCTTAAGCGGAGCAGCGTCTTGAGACTTACAGCAGGCTTTGTAAGTAAAGCAGAATGCTCCACTCAGGTTGTGCCTATTTCCATCACATGGGGACCATTTGCAGGAGCAAATTAATACCAAGCTTTATTCCTCAGTAGCAAGCACCCATTGCACCACTGTCCATGCAGTTGTTCCATGTGCGAGGTTGGGCCATGACCTGAAAGGACAGTCTGTCACCTGTTTTGAGAAATTCAATGTGCCTCCGAACCACATCCTTCAAAGACAAACTCTCTTTGTCAGGAGAACTGCTTCTATCATTGGATCTGTCAAGCTGAGCCACTGAATGAGCTATTTCACTGGGTCTCCCCCAGTCAAGCTCAATTTGAGTTTTACAGTCCTTGATACTTGTGGGATATTTTCATAGAAGCCATTAACTTACTTTGCACTGGGAATTATGCTGCTTGGCAGGGGCTATCTCTCCTCACAACACCTGCATGTCCAAAGTTGAACCTAGTCTTGTAATGAGATGGCAAAAAGTAGTCGTATATATTCAAAATGTTGGCCTGTAAGCCAGTAAGGCCTGAAAATATTTACCAATATGTCAAAATGCTTCTAGCTGAAAACCGTTTCTAAACCATTCGCTCTTTGCAAGTTTAATGGCTTAAGGCTTATGGGCTCATGAATCACCAGCTTTCTTAGCAGCAGCATTTGAAATGTTGATACCTTAGCCTTGAAATAGATGTGAAGGTACCACAGCCTTTACAAGCTGTTATCGAAAGACATACTTTAAAAGCTCCCACAGAAGACTAAATGCGATAGGAGTAGCTGATCAGGATGAAAGTAACCGAACCAACTTAGTTAAAGCCATTGTTCATGTCTGCGTTCCATTTTAGTGATTACCCTCCAGTTGGACAATGAATCATATTAAAGGAAGCTTTGATACTTACAGTTTGTCTGATAAAAAATCCAGATGACTTTAGAAGCAATGATGAGTATTTGGGAAACTATTAGTCTTATTTCAAATTACTGAATTCAACTATCAGAAGAAAATTTTGGAGAGCAATTCCATTTATCACAGATAAAAAAAAAAAGATTGTACCATTCTTACAATCCCAAGAGTTTCAGTTGAGAAGACGTATGAACATTCATGGCAAAAAAATCGCTACAACAGATACATGTGGAATGAGTATCTCTAAGGTCAAGGAGGTTATGCCAGTAAATGGCAGACACTGCATTACAGAACTGTAAAATGAAATGTTAAGTGTACACTATACTAGAGAGATAACAGGGATGGAACAGAAAATTACAATAGCAAAACCAACTGGAAGAAAAAAGAAATCTCAATTGTGAATAAAAAAATAATAATTCCATATACAGTCCTCTAAAATACGCCACCATCAATTGATTTATCGAGGTCTTGCAAGGGGATATACACTGTGGAGCGTAAAATTATAACATTTATACATGTTTTGTCTTCAACGCCTAAGACAGAGGAATGAACTCATAAATATGGTGAATAACCTCTGTTTCAGTTTTAACCAAAGAGATTATGAAAACCTATTAAAATAAAATAAATAAATAAAATAGAATAGAATGCTTATGGGTTTGTTTATCTGTGAATAGCTTAAAAGATATGGGAATTCACGGCTTCCTGTTTTTTCTGAGTAACTGGCCCCATCTATACACGCATTCATCCAACATGTCGATGCGGACAACTTGCAGACCTGCCTCTTCACTCCTATCTCCTTGCAGCCAGATTAAAATCCCAATCTGTTTCAGACACCTCTCTGAAGATGGCTAAGATCAGGTCAGTCTCAGCTCTCCAACCTTTCTCCTCCATCAATATAGATAAAAATGACCATTTTGCCTATCACTCAACTCATAACTCTTCATTTTCAACTCTACTTTCTCTCCAGGCCCTAACGTTCAACCATACAAAAACAATCAGAAAGATTTTGACATATTTCCAAGATTATTTCTGTATATTCATCTTCACAACTAAAAACTTTTGTCCAAGCTCTCATCCCCTTGATTACTGCAACTTCTTTCCCCAGCTCATTCAAGTCCCGTTCATCCAGAATGCCATCTCAATCAGCATTTTCAGCAATTAGTCTCACCATGTGAATGCATGAATGCATTCTTCTTTGGTTCCTCCTTGTATTTGGGCTTTTACTCATTCTGCACTCATATTTGAGGTAAACTCCTTGTAAAAAGCTCCAAACCTCATTTTCCTTCCTCCTGAATTCTCCTTAAAACTTATCTGCTCTGATTTCTCCTGAGAAACTTGACAATTAGGCTACTGCCAAGCACACCGATCAATACAATCCAACTCCTTCTTACACTTGCTGCCCACGACCATCTTTTTACATTCATATTCTAAGCTTTTGGGGGCAAAGACCAGCGTCGCCTCTTCTTTCAGCTGTACATAAGCTCCAAACACATTTCTACTTTACTCACTGAACTAAATACATATAGTATTTACACTTGCTTCTCAACATTTTATGCAAATGCTGCCATGTTTTAGAGGACCGCGTGACTGCTATCCTCATTGTAAACAGAGGAGAACAATGTGTGGGTAACCAAACATGCAACTCCAATGAATTCTTTCCAACGTCATAGGCCAATATAGCTTCAACAAACGTATAGGTGTTATTTCCAGTGAGTTGTGCTGTTCAAACATGCCTACACACACTACCTTCAGGGTGTCTGTGGTGTACGATGATTTCCCACCACAGAGTGAATATGACTTTCAAGAGAGTCATCTATACCCACCCTGGTCAAGTAAAACCATTCCAGCTGCCACTAGGGTTTAGTACGCATGTTGCCAATAGGTCTAGTAAAACCATGTCAGCAGCAACTATGGTTTAGTGCCTATGTTGCAGGTAGGCTTTCAATCACAGTGTGGACAACCCCTGGCTGTCCACACTGGACAGTGGCTGAGCCACCCACAGATTTTACTTCTTTATCGTGCAGCAGTAAGACAATCAAGGTGGTTATATACGGCTCTTTACCACCACCTTGGAGCAGACCACAGAACACCACCAACGTCCTGGAAGGCACAGCCTGCCAGAACACATGGCTGACACATGGAAGAGTGAAGAGGGAAAGAAAAACAAAAACGCGCAGGTGGCTGACACATGAAAGAGTGAAGAGGGAAAGAAAAACAAAAACAACAAGGAAAAATTTTAAAATATGAGGATAGTGGAAGGGAACAGCTTATTAAATTCATGGCAAGTCATTTAGCATTTTACACTGGTGCCTCAGTTACTAGGCACTACTGGTCTACCTAAAAATAACTGCAAATGAAAGGCGAAAACCCAAGAAGTGAGGTGACAGCGTTATCAGTAGGCTAATGCTTTGCCAGTCCCATTTCTACGATAAGTCTACACAGCTAGATGACACCAAGGTGGATGGTGTGCAACATTCCCACATACAAAAACATTCCTGGAAGGAAGGTTTCAGTAGAAGAGCAGACTATTGCAGGTATCAATTACCCAGTGACTGTGAAGCTGTGGATGGATTATCGGTATGAATAAAGTGAGGATTCACACACCCAGAGGTCAGCCACTGACTAGCCAGCCTGGATCCTGGCTGTCCTACGCCTTATGTTTCACAAAAGCGATCATGTTCTGGCTCCAGTCTGAAGATGCTGCCAAAACCCTCCTACCCTTTCAGGAATGCAGTTCCAAGGGGAAGGCACTTTCGGGCACAGCAAATATGCCTACTGACTACAACACTGGGAACAATCCTGATCTCCTGTGCAATCTGTGCAACTGGATTGGCCTTACAGATATAGGGAGCAGTGGGGTTTGTATCCAAGCCCACTTCACACACGGTTTTTATCTCTAGGTAGCTTTCACCTTACTCAGCACAAGCAGTAGGCAGAAATCTACCAAAATGTTTAAATGTTCAAGTAACCACAGTGCGCTGCAAGCATGTGTCTAATTAATCTGATGAATCAAAGTTTCCTGTTCAGTAATATATCACAGAGCTATGTAAAATGAAAACTGCAATGGCTCAAAAAGCAGCTGGCTCCTTTCTGTTTAGTTGGAAGACTTTAACTGTTTTGCCAGTCTAAGAAAGTGTTTTATCTTGACTTAGATATCTGTAAATCAACTTCCTTATCTAAAGGCAACAATACATTGTCCAATACACCGACACAGTAAAACACCTTCTGACACTGTCACCACAGGTAAGCTATTACTGCGTAAGAACTTGGGCCAAAAAAAAAAGTTTCAGGCGCATGTTAAGTATGTTAGCAATTCTGTTCACCAGTTCTCTTGGTGACTTCAGAAACTTGAACTTTCCAGACAGCTTCAAGTGAGGCAGCTCGTCGAGTTGAGAGTCGAGAGGCCAACACAACATTGGAAGCTTACAAATCTAGAGTGTTTCACGAAAAAGACAGCGTATCCCACGGTTACTCCCTCCCTCCTGCTGCAGTTGTAGAGAATAATCACTAGATGGAGCTGCACAGTCACAAATCTGATTTATGGCTGCTAGAAGAGTTTGTTGTCGCCTACGTTCTGTTTGGCCTAAAACTGACACGTTCCAGCGCTTCCTGATAACTCATCTTCTGAATGGGATGAAATGCTTTCATTTAAAAAAACAAAATGTACACAGAGAAAGTGATGAGATACTGAACGGGGGAGGGGGGGGGCGGACACACACCAAAAAAACAAGAAACCAGCAACACTCACAGCTTTCAAAATCAAATAAATTTTAAAAGTGAACTGAAAGATATTTTATCTGCCAAGACAGATGTCTTGCTTTGTTCTGCAAGTCAGAAAGCACAGCCGACTCCTTAATGCTTGGCATGATTAGCTGCTGCAAAAGAAATACAAGAGCTCTGAGCTCAAATATTTGTAAATAAGGTCTAGCACACGCGAAAAATGCAGTGATAGGCAAACCCATTTCCCATAAATGCCCCGGTGATATGCTTAATCCCGCACCTAAGATGTACTTACAAAAGAATCTTTTTCTGCTAACGCAACTGACACTAGATAGTTCTGCTAGCATAGGAGGGTAGTTGAAAAGTTATCATCCTAACCTACAGGCACACAATTCATCTGGCTTTCTGGAGGTTAACTATGTGCCAAAAGGGAAGTTTTACCTGCTCTCATCCTACACCTGTTGAGGCCAAGTTGCAACCCACTCCATGCCTGGGTATTCCTGGTCTGTGTGCAACGGTGCTAATTTCATCTCCTGTAGAGCAACAAAATGATAGATCTTCACATCTTGCTTGGGTTTTGCAAAATCCAGATATTGCCAACGCTTCACAAGATGAAAACCAAATCCCCGGCCCATCTCCAAAAGGCACTGCAGGGTCCTTTCAGCATGTATCTATGTAATGAAACAAAAGCACAGAAAAGGTTTTTTAGCCCGATTTCTAAGAAAAGAAGATGGCACAGTCACTGTTGGTTTATGTATCAATTCCCTCAGTGACAGATCAGGCCAGGGAGGAGATCCCTAAAACAACCAGGCTGTCAAAAAGCGGCAAGGGCACTGCTGCACCTGGCCTGGAAGGTGCTGCAGAAGGGGGCTGAAACAGCGGCAGAGGAAACCAGGCCCCGTCCCCCCCGCCTCTTGGAGGATCTTCCTTGATCCCTTTCACCTGGAAACTTCCAGTTCTTTTGGGCACAGGACTGAAGTCCCACAATCTCATGTGCAATTTGATAAGGAATCTGCTCACACCTCAGCTGCAAAAAACGTCGTGCTAGGGAAGGAGAGCGCGCGTTTCCAGGGCTAACTGGAGGCCCGAGCCTCTCCCGAGGACATTTCTCTGAAGAGCTCCACCGTCGGAGCCCATTACCAGGTCGCACAATGTCTGGGCGTGTTTTAAAGCGAAGACTGCAGTGAAGGCACACCAGAACCGGCCTCCGAGGAGGTGGCGGCACAAACCCCCGGCGCTGCTTTTGCCGCTTTACACACCCCTACAGAGTATGTCACCCGAGAGGAAGGCGCGCGTCTCCCGCGGGGTGCCCATCCTCCCACCAGCCCAGCCCAGCCCCGGCCACCTCAGGGCGCCGCACGGCGTGAAAGCCACCAAAATCAAC